AGAAGAAGAAGAAGAAGAAGAAGAAGAAGAAGAAGAAGAAGAAGAAGAAGAAGAAGAAGAAGAAGAAGAAGAAGAAGAAGAAGAAGAAGAAGAAGAAGAAGAAGAAGAAGAAGATCTATTGTTCTATACCCAGGATCTACATCACGCGTCTCCATTCTACCTTTTCCCCTCATCGGTTCCAGAGTCCCATTGTGGGGGAAGGCAAGAATAGGCACACTATCTCTTTAGCAACCATGTCGTAAGAGTTGACTAACTGGGAGCTTCCCTTGAAGTCTGAGTGCATCTGCCTGAGGCAAGGAATCAACAGTCTGCATACAAATAAGTCAGATCTGTAGAACGGATGTGCGCGTAACAGGTTCGAAACAAGACTTAAGTCCAGAGGTGGGCGAACAACCAGAACGTTCTGTCAGAGTTTACAGCCGGTAAACGCGAAGAAGAAAAGAAGAAGAAAAATTTGTGGATTAACTGCATAAGACTGAAGAAGTATAGATTGTCACGTTCAATATATTGTGCATGTACTTTCAAACAGTTAAACTACTTATACAGTGTAGACTATCTGTGTGGATATTTTAAGTGAGCTGGAATACCGTAATTCTGTCTTAAAATAAATTAACATCTCATATGCGACTCCCTGATCTTGTAATGTTCTGTTTAATCCTTCTCTGTAGTTCTTTAGGACAGAGTTATGAGCTATGAGTTATGAATTAGATTATCTTCACAGCACTCCCGGCACATCCAAAGATTTCCCTCTCAACATATTCATCAGCATCGTGCGGTTAATAGTACCAGTCCTGTGTTGGTTAGCAAGACTTGTGTGCTTCTGGTGTGCTTCTCATGCTTAGCTGTGCCGATTTTTACTCCTAATTAGCAGTGATTTGGACACGTTGCTTCCAAAATCCTCAGAACTTCCTATTTCTCTAAGGGCAATGACAATGTCTGCGTGATCCATGGGCCGGCCATCTTCAATTATTGCAGCACCTGCCAGTCTACCAGCTCTTTCATTACCAACAACGCCTGCATGTCCTGGGACGAATATAAAGGTAACTGCACACACAGGAGAGTTTTGTAATGACTCAAACCACTATTTGCGTAACCAGCCTGCCTCGACCCGCCGGATCATGCTCAAACAATCAGCATGCACACGCGGAAATAGTTCTGTGATTCTAGCCACATGAAAGCTTGTGTCACCGCCATCACCTCCATCGTCATGCTGCTGGTGGTCATGGAGAAGGCACCGCTGGCTTCTTGAACTGTTCTGCTTGAAGAGCGAGCTGTAAATGTCAATGCACTCTTATGTGCTCGTATAACAGACCCGTCTGTAAAGATCACCACATCTGTCTCATCTGACTTGTCACTGATAAGCGCACATACCTCGGCATTGACAGCAGCTGGTTTCTGCTTCCGACAACTCCTATCGATCGTCACGACACAGGAGAATGTGAGATGTGAGATTGGGGCTTTAGACACTAGTATCCATTCCTCACCTGGATGGATATCTGTAAGGCTGCAAACCTGCATGATGTCAACCTCTGCCTTGCCCCGCCATGATTTGCCCCTTTTAAGTTTATTGCCCTTTTTTTTAGAAGAGCATGTAGTGCAAAGGGTGTTTCAGATCTGAGATTATTTTGAGGTATGCACGAGCCCTCCAGATCTTGATCCTGTAGTTCATGGTAGTGAAGTCCAGAAGATACCTCATTGCTACACAAGAGTTGTCTCCAGTTCACCCCAGAATAATGCCCATTGCTTCATTTTGCACCTTCTCAAGTCTTTAAATTTGAGTTTGGCTGACAGTGAGGATGGCCGGAGCATATTCGATGGGAGAAAGTACAAGTTTCTGGAACAGAAGCAGAAGCAGTCTCTGCTCAGTGTTAGCGGCGGCCAGGACCCTCATTGCTAACAGGCCTTTGTGTGCTTTTGTTATGACATGGTCAACATGTTCTTTGAAGGATAGGCTGCGATCAAACCTTATTCCGAGGTATGTCATCAGATTTGTTCTCGTCAAAGTTTCCTCACTGCTTTTCACCGCTGGTAAGTCTGTCTTCACTATATGCGTGTTCAAGAAGAAACTGGTTACTGGGGCCTTTATAGGGTTAACACAGGACCGTCGGTGACACGAGCATTAGAATCTTCACACCAGGAGGAGATGCGATTAAGTTCACTCTGGATTGACTTGGTAATCTCTTGACGATCTCTTCCATGTCGATATACTAAGAGGTCATCAGCAAATGACAAGGTCCTGCCACTCCGGTGCAACTGCTGCTCAGTTATCAGCATTGTGTACACGTTGAATAGCATTGGAGACAGCAGGGAACCTTGAGGCAATCCTGGGCTGATGGTTATAGGTTCTTTAGGACTATCTACTCCCAGCATGTTTTCAGTTGTCATATGATGACGATGATGACGTTCAACCACACCAGGACATCACCCGAGTGACAAATACCCTGTGACACAAAGTGCCCCATTTTAGACGAGTATAACACGGGGACAGGATCCCCGCTTAACCCATAGGTTGGGTTATATTAGGGCCCGGTTAACAGCCTGGGTGGGGCTTTATAATAACAAAAAACTGCGTCCTTTTTTATCATATGCTTTTTGCAGAAGATCATATGTTAAGGGAAAATCCTTTAGAGTTCATACTTCTTGCAGCAGAGTAAATAATGTACCTGACATACAGAACAGGTGTCTTCTGGTATAGCTGCCGAAGTAAGATGATCCAAACTGCAGTCTCAGTCGTTTCTTATTGCTAGATATTTTTAGTTAACATTTTTTTGGACATTTCCTAGTTGGAGCCTTTTGTAATTTGTAGGTATATCGTCCATCAAAGCTCCCATTCCACATCCCTGTTCATTTCTCTCTTATTGTTTTTATTAAAAATTATTTTCTATTTAAAATCATCCTTATTCATAGCTACATGTATTTTATTATTATTTGTTCTGCCTTTTTCCTTCTCTGTCTGCAATTTTCTTGAAAGATCTGAACATCAAGGAATTAAATCAGAAGGCATAGTACTAGGAAGGAGAGACAGGGGCCGACCGACACGAAGATGTGCACATGATATAAGTGACTGAGTATGAAAGTACATGAGGCGGGAGAACTGGCGAGAGACTGAGTTTCTTTCAGGCAGACTGTGATGAGAGCGACGTTCTGCAAAGGACCTGCTACATGATAATGATAATCTGCCATTTTATTTCCTTAAATTCCCACATACGATAGTATCCACATAATTAGTACTGAGCATCCTCTTGTTTTTATATAATAAGTTGTGGCCAAGAAAATATAATCTGCGAAGTCATTTCTACTACATATCCTGGTATTTTCAGAGCCATATAATAAGACAGATCAGCTCGTTCAAGTGCTTCAGTGATAAGGGAGATCATCCACGGAGAGATAATCGAGTGTTGTATTGTTGCTATGCAGCTTCAAAATGTCGGCACCCCGAGTAAAATAAGACAAGGTTTGTGTTAAGCCAGCTAATGTATTTATGCTAAGTGTGAAGTAAACTCGCTAATTCCGCCAGAGGAACAAGTACATAAAAATAGATGATGTAAAAAAAATTCAACAAAGCTACAAAATGAATGGCGGTTAATTATCAATCATGAATAATTCCACAGTTAATCGATACTGAGTGATAGTAAATTAGTATAGAGATATAGTGATACTAATTAATACTAACTAATAGTATCAGTGATACTGAATTTTACTTTTACTAACCTACAGTGAGTAACAGTGCGTCCCAATGTGAGGATCGGCTGGCCGAACGGTTAGAACGCTGGGCTCTCACGCGGGTTCGAATCCTCGGTAAGGCTGGGGATTTTTTTTCTGTCGGGGAAAAAATACTCACTTGCACAGTCGTGGCGACAGCACTAACCATGTGGTCGTAAATCCTCAGGCTCAAAGAGCCCCGCCCACGCCTACACCGCAAACGTAGAATAAAAAAAAAAGGCATTCATTGGCAGTCTGGCGTCCCAATTTCGGACGCAATTTGTTGTTGTTTCAAAGCCTAACCCTAGCTGTTGATTGGGACTCTAATATAACTCAACCTGTGGGTTGAATGGGGTTTCTGGGACTTGTCCGAATGGTGGCACTTTGTGTCAGCGGATGTTTATCAGTATTTCAGTCACAGTCGCTTGTGGAGGGAAAACAAATGGCACAGACTGCAGTCTCAACAAAGCCAGTATACACATGCATAAGGCAGTTGTGCCAAAACAGACTATCTGGTACTAGAAATGCAATTTATCATCCATGGAATCAGCAGTTACAACAGATCAGTAGCTGCACACACAATTAATTACATAAGGCATCACAAATTCTCTGGCAACAACCACTCACAGTTTTCTGAATTTGCAGTTCACAGCACAAACCACATTTGACGCAATCAAAATGCATTCCAAATTAAATCTGCAGCTCACAGTGTTGCACCACACACTCAGCTGAGTAGCTGGGCAATAGAACTGTATTCTTTAAGTCCACACAAGGAGGAGAATGCAATGGCTAACTATTGCCAGAAGCAGAAACTTGCTATGACTACAAAACAGTAAACCAACCTATCCACCACATTGACCCAAAGCATCTGCTCCAGGTAATAGCAAAAGATATGAGACCTTGAAGTGATTTGATTGAGGCTCTCCTTCGTGTATCTTACATCTCCCCCTTGCAATTGTCACTTCTCATGCTCAAAGTCACTTAGTTCACTGAAAAATGTATGTGACGTAGTTTCCAACCACTGATTCTTATTATAAAGATATTACAGTCATTAAAAAAAATAACTACAGACTCATAAAGTCAGATCACTTAGGGCTATGCTACCTGAGGAAGCAAAAGTATTGCTATGACAGCTGTAGTTGTATTTGTTAGCACATACTGTAATGTTGAAGAGAGAGGCATAATTTTTTTCACAATAACTTTCAATTTGTTTCCATCACCAGTTAATCATAGTTGATTATCAGTCCCACAGTCATCGGAATGCATTTGGTTTGACCTCCAATATTCCTTCTGTCAGTATGAAGAACGTGCAAGATTTATACCATGACAATGGAAGGAAAGTGTTTATGGGAAGGGAGGTCAGACCAGGTAAACGACAAAACTGAACTGTGTTACTTAAAGCATATGCCATGTTGTCTGTTTGTATAGCAGGTGCATGATTATATTAAGCAAGTAATCAATTAAGAAATGTGAGAGACTGGAAAGAACACAACACAAAAATGACTGGGAAGCTCAGTGAAAGGAAAGGTGCAGACAGGTACAACCAGATTTATACCACAAAAACCATTATCAGTTCTTCTTCTTCAGCCTTCCACACCCTTGAGGTTCATTGTGCAAATATAACCTAAATTCATTCATCTTTCTTATTGGTTGTCTCTTTCCACTTGGTAACTGCATGTGTTTGTACATCTGTCTGTATATTCTCTCTCCACCATCTTCTTGGTCTGCCTTGTGGCACTCCCACTCACCTCTTTTGTGCACATAGTTTTCTCTCTCTCTGTTACCTACCATTGTCTTTATCAGGGATGCTACTGAAGTTTGATTGGCTAATAAACAGTATCCTGACTCAAAAGCTGAAATACCTTGTTCGTGTCAAGTGTCATGGTGGATTGGAAAACATAATAGCAGAAGGCATGGTACCATGAAGGAGGGGCAGGGGCCGACCAACACAAAGTTGTTCACAAGATATGAGTGACTCGAATATGAAAGTACTCTAAGTGGGAGATCTGGCGAGAGACTGAGTTTCATTCAGGCAGACCGTGATGAGAGCGGCTTTCTGCAAAGGACCTGCTACATGATGATGATGACTAAAGTTTTATGTATTTGGTTTTTACTTATAAAACGTTATTAGAGATTAAAATAACAAATCCAACGACGCTTCACTCAAGCCTGTAGGTCCATTCTAAGCGGAGATATTAACATTTTAGTGGTGGATACCACCATAGACAAATTATAGTGTAGGCTGACAAAGGATGGATACTTAATTGTGTTCCAGTTAAATGAAGGGTGAAAACTACATTTTTGCATTTTATGGCAATAACTATTGTGTTGTTAACAAACCCCTTAGCAGCTATATATGATGGTAATTGTGTTAGTGAGGCTGAACTGTATATGCATTTCTCAAATACATATGATGCAGTATGGGCCTAATTAACGTATACAAATGGCTGCCAGCTCACTTTTTTTTTAGTAAACACCATTTAAAGGAAGAGTTTGATCTATATAAATTATTAGCAGGTTATGATTTGTTTAATAAAAGCAGCAACAGGTCAGACACCTGACTCTGGTAGATTTGTTGGATTTGAAATTTGTGCTGTTCACGTTTCCAGGCCCAGGATTAGAGTAATTTCCCTTGTCATTCATGCCTCTTTAGGTTGCTGGACCTGTCCTGTGTTGCAGGAGAGTCATGTTTTCCTTATTGTGAGTGGTTTAACCGTTGCTTCTTCTCTTGTCCTCTCACTGTTCGCTTGCGTGATTATTTTCATGTTCTGCTATCTGCATGACAGTTTGGGAGTATGGAAACAGCAATATTTTTCTGTTCCTATGCTCCCTGCAACTGCTTTCTTTCTCTCGCCGGCACCTGCAGCGCCTGAAAAATATTTACAACAACACAACCTTTCACAAACGTTACATACGCTGAGCAAACTTCAAACCAAGCCAAATCATAACACCCTCGCAACATAGGAGAGTTCCAGCGACCCAAAAAAGACATGAATGGCAAGGCAAGTTACTCTAATCCTGAGCCTGGAAACGTGAACAGGTCCTTGAAAAAAAAACACATGGTCACTAAAATTTGTTTTTTCAATCTTGGTGTAATCTGTATCTTGTGAAACTTTCCAATTTATGTAAAATGGAACACAGTATTAGAAAAATCACGACAAACTGTTTAAGTCTCCCTAATTTAGGAGATATTGAGAAACTTTACATACCATTCAACAAATTGTCAGCAGTCAACTTAGGAATGCAAGTCCGAAACAGAAAAACATCAGTTAGATAACTCCTAATGCTAAATTCGATATTTAAATCTCAGTAAAGTGTACCAAATAATATGTGTGTGTGTGTGTGTATATATATATATATATATCTGTGTGTGTGTGTTTGTGTGTATGTATATATGCATTTATTTTAGACAGACTTTTATGTTGATGTTTATTAACTATAAATGAAGTATCTGGAATGTTCTGTGAAATAAGTTACAACATTCCTCTACCACATTCAACTGTACAGTCCATGACTGCAGACATGAGATAATGAAAAATCACACAGACCCAAAGGAGTATGAGACATGGCTACTGGCTCATGGACTGACAGAGACAAGCAGGGCTCTGGCCAGCCTGCACATCAGATCCAAACCACCAACAGCTGGTTCCAAAAAGTAAGTTATGGTAAAACTAAAATTAGACCATACTCTCCACTGTAACAATAAAAACATGCTATACAAACAAGACTTTTTTCTTATGAAAAAGATGGGCATGCTTTGTGTTTTTTTTTTTCTTTTAGTTTAAATTGTGTTTTAAAGCAATTTTCTTTCAAAATTCATTTTTGAAATTTAAAAACAAAATGTTAGGTACAGTATGTATCCTAGCATAGATTTAAAAAACTTATGGAATTATTATGCTTGAAAAAAAAGGAAAGGAAAACAAATTTAGTTACCGCCCCATAAGCCCCTAAGCTGCCTTGGAAAGACCATGGAAAGATTAGTGAACAACAGGTTACTTAATTTACTGGAAGAGAACAAGATATCGGATGACAGCCAATCAGGCTTCAGGAGATACAGAAGCACTGATGACCAAACCTCTTATCTCACACAGGAAATTGAAGATGCTTTCCAGAAAAAATACAAACTGCTAGCTACTTTCTTTAACCTGAATAAAGCCTTCGATAAGGTCTGGAAAAAAGGACTCTTGCTAAAACTAGCACACAGTGGGATAAAAAGACATTTATTTGCCTGCATTAGAGACTTTCTTTACTGATGCTGCGCGAGAGTCAGACTGGAAGACCAAAGAGCAAGTTGGTCAGGTTACAGGAAGGTGTTATATCTCCTTTCCTGTTTAAACTTTTCATCAGTGACCTCCCAAAACAGTTCACCACTCACATTCACAAGGCCCTAAATGCAGATGACCTGGCCATATGGACCCAAGCTGAACATATAGGAACAACTAAAACAAGAATGCAGGAAGCTATAAATACAGTTAAGAAATAAACAGACTCTTGTGGAGTCATATTAAACCAGACCAGAACTGTCTCGACTCTCTTCTCTCTTTCCACAAAGCTGGAACAAGTTGATTTATACCTAAAAGGCGACATCCTTCCAAAAGGAAGAAATTAGGGAGTACAATTTGATAAGAGACTAACCTGGGGCCCCCACATTTAAGACACCCAAAGTAAAGCTATCCTGAGGCTCAGACTTATGAAGAAACTTACTGGAACAAGCTGGGGTGCACATGCCAACACTGCATCACAAGTATACACAGGATACGTACAACCAAAATTGGAGTATGGCATGGGAGCATACTCCACTGCAGCCAAATCAAACCTACACAAACTGGACAAAATACAGAACACTGGTTACAGAATAAATTACTGGAGGAATGAGAAACACCAGTCAATAAGCTGGAGGCAACTTCTGGCCTCTAGAGCTTGAGTCTTCAAAGGAAAGACAAGGTGCTTACCTTAACAGAAAAATGTAAACGCATGAACAACAAAGCCATGCACAGAATAGCAAACAACTTAACTAAGAGGCGACTGAAAAGACAAAGCTTTCACCATCTATCAAAATTTCAAACACAAAAAAACAGTGACATACTTTCGAAAAATCCTTCAACGTGGAAAATGATCCAGGCATATAGCATATCCTACAGCCTAACTATACAGTCACAACAACAATCCCAGTCATAAACAGAAAGGTTGAAGAATGTCACCTAGTACTGCAGACAGAGACTCTTAAACATCTCTACAACTCTTATCCAAAATTCAAATGGATACACATATACACTAATGTAACATTGAAGGGAGCTGAAAAACTGGAAGAGCTGGATCAGTCATCATGCTGCAAGATGGGATCACAGCAGAAACATTCATGAGCCTCTGGAAGACTCTCAACACACTTCAGAGCAGAGCAGCAAGCAGTTATTGATTTAGCCAAAGTGCTTGAGGAAAGAAAAATTAAAAACAGCAAAATTGTTTTCTTTTGTGACTTCATGTTAGTCCTCCAGGCGACTCAAAGGGATCCACGAGACAACATAGAGAGAGAACTGACCCGCCAGCTAAACAAACTCTCAGAAAACAATCAAATCGTTCTTCAGATGGACCCCGGCTCACTGAGGAATACCAGGAAATGAGTTTGCAGACAGACTTGCAAAAAAAATTAAACAAAGGAGAAAACAACACGCCCATTCATTGTCATTACCAGAAATAAGAATACTTATCAAGGGAAAATACAAGGAATTATGGTGAGAACAAACTAACAGTGAACATCCACAAGACCGCATACCAAGACTCAACAGAAAGCAACATATAACAATTTCTGTCTATGAACAGGACACTGAACACCTGAGTACATTCTGCAGACCTGCCTACTCTATCTACAACTTCGAAAGGACACCTGGCCTCAGGAGCAAAGTGTGCAGAGCAAGCTATGGGGAACCATGAAGGACCTACTGCTGACATGCTAGTTTATAGAGGCAACCCACCTGATGGTCTGATCTGAGCATACATTTGTGTGTCCTGTGCTGGAGGAATCTAAACAGTAGCTCAGCACAGTGGTCTCCATCCTGGGGTGGGGGAGGGGGGCATGAGGAGGTTTTAAGGGGAGCATCAAGCAGTTTCATCAAGAGTTGACAGACAATTATTATGGCAAGATATGGAGTAAGCGAACACCTCATCGAAGTGTGCACAAGTTTATACAGGGATTGTAGAAGTGTAGTTAGAATAAATCAGGGAACATCTCATCCTTTCACAGCCTCATCGAAGTGTGCACAAATTTATACAGGGATTGTAGAAGTGTAGTTAGAATAAATCAGGGAACATCTCATCCTTTCACAGCCTCATCGAAGTGTGCACAAGTTTATACAGGGATTGTAGAAGTGTAGTTAGAATAAATCAGGGAACATCTCATCCTTTCACAGCCTCATCGAAGTGTGCACAAATTTATACAGGGATTGTAGAAGTGTAGTTAGAATAAATCAGGGAACATCTCATCCATTCACAGCAACATCTGGAGTAAGACAGGGGTGTGTATTATCACCACTGCTGTTTATCACCTACATTGACAGTATATGCAAGAATGCCAAGCCCATGAATGAAAATGTTAGTAACATCAACGAATTACTCTTTGCAGATGACCAGGCCTTGATAGCAGATACAGCCATAAAATTGCAACAACATCTAACTTCCATGAATGACAAATGTAAAACAAATAATATGAGAATCAACACTGAAAAGACAGAAGTAATGTCAATAGGAAAAAAGAAGACAGATCTAAACATAGCAATAGAGTGCAAAGGCATTAAGCAGGCATCTGAGTTTAAATATCTGGGAACTACATTTACTGAAGATGGGAAATTGGATAAAGAAATTAACATTAGATGCAGTAAAGCAAACCAAGTATTGGGACAGCTAGCCTCCCTCTTACAGTATAAGACAATCCCAATCAGCACAAAGAGACATCTTATTCAAAGCATATTTATTCCAACTCTGTGCTACCAGGGCCAGACATGGTCACTCACAACAAACCATACAAGAAAATTAGTAACCATGGAAATGAGGTGTCTGAGAAGGGCTGTAGGAGTGACCATACAAGATAAGATCAGGAATGAGATCATAAGAGAAAAAGTCGGCACAGAACCAATTCTAAATTACATACAAAGACAGCAAGTGAAATGGTTTGCCCACTTAGAGAGAATGCCTTGTGACACCATACCATACAAAGCATACATGGAAAGAGAAGAAGGACGTAGAGCACGAGGTCGACCAAGAACAAGATGGAAGGATAACATCAGAGAAACTCTACAACAGCACAATGTGCCTATGGTCGAGGTGGCCAGAAGAGCTAGAAACAGAACCTTATATCTCCCTCGGTAAAAGAGGAAGTGAAGAAGAAGAAGAAGATCAAGCAGTTTTGAAATTCAGTGCATTTGTATTTGTTTTGCTGGTGAACGTAAAGAAGACAAAAGATGATAAACTTGTTAATGCTAAATGGCTCACAAATTAGAAAAAAAAATTTGCATGTAATTGATTCTATGAATGTTGAGCTTAACAAAAATGAAAAATTTTAAAAATCAATATTTTAGTCATAAACTGGAGAAAAAAACCCTGCTGTAACCAAGAAGGAAAGGCAGGGCTGACAACACAAAGATGGGCGTAGGACATAAGAGATACCTTGGGCAAGGGAATGTATGAGACAGGGGAACTGGCGAGGCACCAATGATAATGATTGTGATTACGATCTCATGAAGATGGAGACATTTGGAAGTTAAACATGAAAAGCTAAGTTTGTAATCTGATACCTGAATGATGGTTTTAAAGCTAAAAGTAGTTCCACAGCAGTTACTGCCATTAGGGCTTCATATCTTCTAGAGCAGCGGTTCTCAACCTGTGGGTCATGACCCTTTTTCGCAGGGGTCACCAAAGACCATCACAAAACAAATATTCATTGAAGTTATGAAGTAGCGACGAAAATAATTGTATGGTTCGGAGCCGCTACAACATGAAGAATTGAACTGAAGGGTCGCCAAAAGATGAGGAACACTCATTAAAGGGTCACGGCATTAAGAAGGTTGAGAACCACTGTTTTAGAACAAGCCAGGCCCCTTTCCCTTCCTCTTGTCTTTCCTTCAAAAACAACTGTAAAAAATATTTTAGTACCCATGTTGAAGAGCTCAACCCCTGGGTGGAAAAATAATCGAGCCTCTATTTGGTATTGAACCCGTAACATTGCCTTGGCGAAAAAGCACACTAACAACTTTGCTACTGCAGCTCCAAAGTGGATATTACCATTTTGTCTGTCTGCCTTCACCAAATGTAAACTCTGGTGGAAAGTACTAGTTTTTGTTTTTGTTTTTTTTAAATCCATTTCTGGACTTCGGCTTGACAGATTATTGGCTCTTTGCCTTTCAGGCAGATGCATTCTGACTAAGAAATAAATGCCCACCCCTAGTTGTCACTTGCTATGACATGCTTGTTAGGGGTGCAGTGGGTTTGTTCTTTTCCCCCCAAAATGGGGTCCTGAGGCCTGGAAGGTATTAACAGTGATTTTTATATATTTTTAAACTATGTATGTCATTTTGTAAAGACTGTTTTAGTGTAATTTCAACAGCTATTAAGAAAACTGCAAAATGCTGAACATAAAATTGACTAGGAAACCTACAAACAGCCAACAAATTCTACGGTTAGTTGCGACATCTTGTAAATGATATGCAACTAATTTGTTTCTAACATGCTGTAAAATTTCTCACAGGGGAGACAAACTTCTGTACAAGCTTGGTGCATATGGAAATCCTGAGGGTGAGTTTAATTACCCGAGAGGTGTCTGCATAACTATGGCTGGCAGTATCTTGATTGCAGACACAAATAACCACCATATACAACAGTTTACACAGTTTGGTGTGTTCATGAGCCAATTTGGCAAATGTGGCGTACAGCCAGGAGAGTTTCAGGAGCCTTGTGATGTCATTGAACTGCCGAATGGGGATATAGCGGTCGCAGACAGCAAAAATAGTCGTGTGCAGGTACACAGTAATTAGTTATTTTGCTTTTTTATTTCTAAATTGGTCACAAACAAATAATATGACTTTGTCATGGTTGTTTAATTCAGGTTTTATCATGGTAAGTTATATTTGGATTTCTATAGTTGCTTAGTCGGCGTCTGTGACTTATGCGCTGCAAATGTGCTTCGTAATGCCGGGGTGCCAGGTTTGATCCCAGCTGCAGGTGATTTGGCAGCAAACCACTTTGCATTGGTTTGGACAGTGGTATCGAAACCTGACCGTCTAGAAAACAATGACAAACTACCGGACATAAATTTGCCTAGAAAAACCACAATGGCCAGAAAATTATGGCCTTGGTTCTGAAACATCCTGTTAAGGATATGCAACTAACTTTATAGTTGTTTAAACCTGTCATTTAGAGAAACCACAGAACTGACACCTCTGGTTAGTACCATATGACGACTTTTTTTTAAAAGAGATGTCTAGCTAACAGAATTGATTCAATTTGTGTCTGTGCAGACATTTAGCATGACAGGGGATGGATAAATTTACCAAAACAGCATTTAGAGAGGTTTCTTTTGAAAAGACATTTATTGTTTATAGAAATTCTGACCTCGTATTTTTTCCATTGGCCATGGTGATCTCAGAATAATTAAGAATATTTATTGGAAGCAAATGGCAGCTATTAAAATGGGAAATAGAATGAGCACATATGAACAGATCAAACAAGGATTAAGACAGGGATGTATTTTGTCACCTAACCTCTTCTTTGTCTATAGCGAGAAGATATTGAGAGAGATCAAAGATACACAAGGAACTAGAATTGGAGGTTATAATATAAACAACAAATTGTGTGCAGATGACACAGTATTCTTCTTCTTCTTTTGTCATTTTACTGATACGAGGTTGTAGCTCAGTGTCATCATTTTCTGAATTTGTCTTGTGCTCCTCGGGTGGCTTGAGTGATGGATATGTTAATCTATTTGCAAGTTTCTACTACACATTTATCCATTTCTTTTTTGGTCTTCCTCTCGCCTTCCTCCCAGATGCTCTGCTGTAAAAAGTCTCATATGCAGTTTGGTCTGGCTGCATTCTCACTAGATGGCTAAACTATTTTCTCTTTGTCTGTCAATATAATCCAGATATATCTTATTCAGACTTTCTCTCCAATGCTGGAATTTGCAACCCTGCCTCTTCTTGTGTTGTTTAGTGACCCTGCAGAGGCAGCTCATTGCAGATGTATTTTCTGTTTGTGCCCTATTTGTTGTCCATGTTTGGCACTGATAACATGAAGTAGGAATAAAGGTGTGATTGATCATCTGCTGTTTTGCTGGAAGGGAGACATTTAGGTGTCTAAGCAGTGGGGCTAACTGGTAGGTGACTGCATTTGTCTTCTGTGCTCTGACACAGTTCTGATGGCTATAAATGCAAATGATCTATAACAGTTTTTGGGCACTGTAGTAAGGAAGAGTGAAAAAAAAAGGGTCAGTTCTTCAATATAAAGAATACGGAGGTAATGATCATTTCAAAGAAAAGAATACCACCATAGTGATACAGTCATAAAATCAGACGAAAGATTTATATAAGAAATTAAGGGCAGAATAGGCCAAGCTAAGGCTGCATTTCACAGAATGAAGAAAATCTTGTGCAACAAGTCCTTCTCTTGCTTATGTACCATATACATATAGCATATACATGTGAAATTCAGTTCCTGTTGTATCATAATTAGGAAAATATATATTGATACTCACACCTTGCCTCAACTGATAAAATATTTCATCATGATCTGAACAGATATTTACAGACATGTTTGTGTACAAGCACCATATTGACCTGCCTGGTCCGGGGCTGCCATACAGTTTGAGCTGCAGCAGAGAGATGGATGTTGTAGCTGCTACTACCAAAAGGAAGCTTTACATATTCAATGCCTATGAGAGGGAATTGAAAAGATCTTTTTCTGTGGGATCAAAGTCCAAGTCCAAGTGTATTCCAGTGCATGTTTCAGTGACATATGACTCCAAGGTCAACACATATTATTGCTGTTAAACTCTGTAAGAAAAATTAATAGCCATGGAAATGATAAGTTTGAGAAAGGCTGCGGAAGTAACCAGAAGAGGTAAAATCAAGAATGAAGTCATAAGAGAGAAAGTCAGAGTAGAACCAATACTAAAATATGAACGAACACTAAACTACATACAAAGACAGGCCAAAAATTATTTAATTAACACATATACCAGAGGAAAAGGAGGTAGACTAAGAACAAGAATGAAAGACAACATCAGAGAATCTCTACAGCCGTATGGTGTATTTATCGTTGAGGCATGAAGAATAGCAAGAATTAGAGCCTGACATGGTCTGAAGTGGAAAATAGGAAATGGAGACGAAGTAGAACTCTTTAAGTCCTCTTTGGGTTCTATGGTCCCATTTTTGGAGGAAAAAGTATAAAGCAAGAATTAACAAGCAAGGTGGCTAATTTGGGATGTTTCCGTCATATTCAGAGCACACCTGACTGAGATGTGAGGAAACAACAGTCTGTATACAGAGAAGCCAGATCTGTAAAACTGGTGTGCATGCAAAATTCAAGTTCTGGAACAAGACAGAAGTCCAGAAGTGGAGAGCAACTAGAACTTTCCATACGAGTTTACAGCCAGTGAGTGCTAAGAAGAACTCTTTAATGTGTAACATGATAATTTTTTAATTACATTAAATAACATTAAATTACATTGAAATTTTAATTTGTTTCAAACATCTTTTCAGATTTCCTAAACTGTTTAAGTACAGCTTTGCTAGAAGGTTTTTACGGCAAGCTGTCTATGGGATTTATAACCAACATGAAAAGTGACAATTAAATTACTTTCAAAGAAGCTAAATTCTCTGCAGAAGAAGTAGCCATTGTGTACATACCTTGACCAAGTGTTTAAAAAAAAAAGGACATTAAAAGAACACATAGCTAGATAGCTGAGATTCATACGAACGAGTCAGTCACATATCATATGTTGCTGTTGATTGAAATAGTTAAGGATCTATTGTTTGTAAGTGCATACACAACACATAGTTAAAAGGTAGTACTAAAAAAAACATAATAATCAAAACAAACAAAACACCAAGATGTGGCTAACACAATTATGGCGACCAAGCATTAACGATATAAACGAACATCTCTTGGTACTTTTTCCTTTTAGCAAGGATATTGAAAAGTATTATAATCACTTACAATAGCAACTTAACCTTTTAACCCCATTTACCTAGAAAAAAAACCACTGACCCATATTTAGGGAATTACCCCCCCCCCCCCCACCCACCCACCCCCAAAGAAATTCTTTCAAATAAGAACATTTTATTTTACTTTGATAACAGAACAGTCTCTGTGGCGAAGTGGTCAAGCCAATTACCTCGCCCTCTGAATGTCTGGATTCATTTTACAGTTGTGCAGTTCAGTTCATAAGTGCAGTTCTTACAGAGATCCTTGGGGATGGTCGCTGGAGCTATGAAGTTCATGCTCAGTGCGGTGCTCTCAGCAGGTGGCCAGCCGTTCTGCCGAGAGAGACTGAGTTATATGGGATAAAACCCCATGCAATGAAGTCGATCCTCTCGACTTTTACCTTTAACCTAGATCACAGAAAATTCTAAAAGTTCAATTTATGGAGCAAATTATTAATTTCCATGCATAATAAGAGGAGTAATCAGTGTAGCTAAGAATTAACTGACTTACCTGTCTTTAACCACAAATAAAATTTTATGGTGAGTTATGCTTGACCCCTTAACCCATCATGGTAACCATTTGTGGTAGACTGGATAAATCTACTAGAAGAATGGCAAGCTAGGGGTTTTGAAAAGAAATGTCTACCACGTAATTTGTAATTTAGGAACATATAATGCTTAGCTTAGTACTGAAAGAGTTAAGACCCCCACCCTTCCTGCCTGCATGTGGAGCTAAGTAGATGGATTTGCCTGACAACGGGCTGCATTAAAGAGACTGAGATGTGGAGGTGAAACTGAAGTAAATAGCAGACTATTAGTAAAACTAAAAGCCAAGTGTAACTGAGGGATAAATTGTGGGAAAAAAAGAACAAACTGAGGAGAGAATGTCAACATTGAGCAGTGTTATACAGAACACTTAATGTACGTACAAATTTGGGAAAAAACTGATTTCTCATATTGGTTGTTAGAATTATAATACAGTCGTCCCCTTGTGGGATGTAATTTTTCGTTATTTGAAGCCCACCTAGGCTTTCGCCGGGGGCCCTGAATATAGCCGGGCCACAAATAGGGCCTAGCGGCTGAAAGCGGTTTCTGGGACCTCTCCACAGGTGATCCTTATCCGCATGGTGGCACTTTGTGTCACCGGGAGTTTATCGCTTGTGTGATATCCTGGTGGGGTAAAATAAGCAAGCAAGCGATTTCTCATGTCAAGTCTCATAAGAAAATTGAGTAGTAAGTACTGGTTTCATAGATTATATGTAAGTAATAAAGTGAAGAATGAGTAAATGACCCTTTATACACCAGTTTTATCAGGCATATGATCAATCAGTCAATCAGCAGGTCCTTTACAGAACTTTGCTCTCTTCATGGCACGCTTGGAGGGTCTCTTTCTCTAGCCAATTCTCTAGCCCTCTGTACTTTCATAACCAATCATGCTTGGAGGGTCTCTTTCTCTAGCCAATTCTCTAGCCCTCTGTACTTTCATAACCAATGCATCTTCAAGGTCCTGTATCCATCTTTGCAGAGGTTGACCTCTATATTATTTTTTGGAAATTGAAACCTCCATTACCATTCTCTCTAGATCACCATGGCGCTTCTTCAGCGATCTCTGGTCATGCGCATAATCCACTGTGGGTCATAAACTGGGATGTCTTTTTAAGGTCTCTTAGGTTTCCCCAAAGCTTAGTTGTCAGTTCTACTGGGTGTTGCCATTTGTCGCTCCGCAGCTCCGCCAGGAGAGGACAGTCTTGCAGGACATGTTCTGGAGTCTGTTCAGCACGAAGGCACCGCAGAGAGCTGTTTGGCTCATACCTAATTTATGTGAGTGTTTATTGAGTCTGCAGTGTCCAGTGCGTAAGCGAAAAACTGCGACTTGGTCTGTTCTGTTCAAGTGTTTCAGAAAATCTTTTTCGTAGTTATAACACCATGGCGCTTGACGTGTTCAAAATATCTCAGCTTTTGGGAGAGGATGCTGTTTATGAGCCAGCTGTCCTTCACTTTCAGAATGTCAACCTTTTTCTTCTTCTTGGTCCACAGTATTCTAAGACTTTTTCTGCAGGATTTCATTTCAAAAGCTCTGATTTACTTCCTCAAAGACTTTAATTAATCCATCCCCAACCAATATACAATTAAAAATCCAAAAGTTACGCATTTATAATATTTTGTAAAATAATAGAAAGACATTCTGGTCATTTTAAGAATTCTGATCTAACACTTACATTAAAACAATAAATTATATCTGTTGTGTATTTGGTTGACATTACTCACTTTTGAACTTCCTGTGAGCATGTACAGAGAAATATTAGAAGAATTTTCCCAAACCATCACATTTTCTAAATTGTTTCATATCAAACACTGTGTGAATGTTTTTATCTAGGTTATTGTCAGTGATCCTGAAGATGGCTGTATCTATATTTACACACTAAATGCAGAGTTGCTGAGTTCTTTTACACCTGAAGCACACACACCTGGACTTGCCATTGTTGTTGGGGGAGTGTGTGTCACACCTTGTGGAGATATTCTTGTGGCTGATGTACTTAACCATGTTGTCAACTTGTACACAGACACTGGAGTGTTTTTGCAGCAAGTTAGTATGTTTAACATTGAACATTTTCATTAGTTCATAGACAAAGGAGTGTTTTCCCAACAAGTTAGTGTGTTGTTTTTAATGTGTTTTTTTTGGGTGATAAGTATAAATTTCCAGTTCCAGATCAACAGATAAGTCAGGTGAGATTACATAACATTTTAATGATAATGTTAACTTAAAAATAGCAAGAAGTATACAAGTTTTACATTTGTTTAATGTTGTAAAGAAATGATAGATGTTTTTAAGTATAATAGACACCAAACACAGACATACTGGTAAAGTATGTGTATAATGTACATATTGTGAAATATTTTTGCAACCTAACTAATAAGGGCTTTTGTGTGAAATTACACACACACACACACACACACACATACTATCAAAGTCATCCCCTTTTGGGATGCAATTTTGTGTTATTTTAAAGCCTCACCCTGGCTTTTGCCGGTGGCCCCAAAGATAGCCAGGCAATAAATATGGCCTAACGGCTGAAAGAGGTTTTCAGGAGATTTCCATGGGTGATCCTCATCAGCATTGTGGCACTTTGGGTCACCAGGTGTTAATCGCTTGTGTGATGTCCTGGTAGGGTACAATACCTACCTACCTACACACACATACACACTCATGCACCCACACACACACACATATATATATATATATACACATATATATATACACATATATATATATACACACATATACATATGGATACATACATATATTTATGTGTGTGTGTGTATATATATATATATATATATATATATATATAAAATGAAAATTTGCTTTTACCCTTTTTCCTTGTTCTAGGTTTTAACACCACATGATGGTGTAGGTACTCTCCACTCTTTGGCTCTTGGGCCAGATGGTCATTTGGCTGTTACAGAGTTCAGTGTAGGAGGTGACCACTGTGTGAAAGTCTTTCGGTTCTATGAATGTCGATGCCACGGTGATGCAGTCCCTGCCAGGAAAAGGAGAAGCATTGTTGCTGCTTCCTTAGAAAATGATGGGTTTAACTAAGTTTTTGTTAATATTTATGGATACAGACATTATTTTTCTTTGAACTTTCAAATGTATGTAAGTATGATCAATTCAATTTTTCTTGTTTGTCTATAGCATTAGTTGCTCTGTCTATACAATAAAGCTTACATTTTTTTTTAAAATTAGCTAGCATATACAAATTTAGCACTGCAGACTTTTCACCCTAGTTTGTTTTCTGTCTTCAACATGTACATACACATTTAAAATATTACTAGGGCTGAAACCTGTATGTATTACTCTCTACAAGTTTTATATCACAGAAGATTTTGTGCTACAAATGAGACCGCCATGCTTACCTTTTTTTGAGATTAGTATGCACATAATCCATTAGAAAGAGATCAAGGGAAGTCCACATTATCAAGTTACTCTGGAAAACTTGTTCTGATAAAACTGTCCTCAAATAGAGTAACTTGGCATCTTTTCAGTTACAGAGAGATTCAATTTTTTTCAGCCACTATGACCTGATGTGTATGATACCTCTAGTCTTCTCTAACCTGGTTTAAGCGATACCACTAGTCACCATTGCTTGATGTACACTGTACCATTAAGTTAATCGGGCCTGGTGTAAGCCACACAAATATGTTACTCTGACTTAATGTGTGAAATACCTTTAGGCCACTTTGATCTGATGTTTAACACACCTTTATGTCACTCTAACATGATATGTAAATACCTCTAAGTTACTTTAACCAGACGTAAGCCATAAATCTGTGCCACTCTGAAGTGATGTGAGCCACACCTTTATATTACTTGATCTTACGTATGTCACACCTTTATGTTACTCAATGGTTGATGCCAAATTTGCTTTCCATGACTCTTCCTAGTACCTATTTTAGACTGAGCTGATCTGAGAGCCAAACATTTTTAAAAAAATTTAAATCTACCCTGTGCATATTTGAATCAAAAAACTTTGGACTAGCAAGTAATCATCTAACCACTATGCTTATGCAGCACCTGATCTCATTGTGCCATAACTTTATGTCACCCTGACTTACATACAACATACCTTTATGTTACTCTGGCCTAACACATATCATTTCTTTATATTCCTATGTTCTTATGTTTGACCTGCCCTTATGTTATTGTGATCTTATATGTGCCATAACTTTATATATACCTCTATGTTGCCCGGCCTAATATATATCATACATTACTATGTTCTCATGACCTGCCCTAATGTTACTGTGATGTCATATGTGCATAGCTTTATGTTACCCTGATCTTGCATACAGCATACCTTTCTGTTACTCTGGCCTAATAAAAATTGTATCTTTGTATTTCTATGTTCTCGTGACCTGACCTTATGTTACTGTGATCGCATATTTGCTTAAATTGTATGATACTTAGACCTGACAGATGCCGTGCACCTTGATGTTACTCTGAAATGACAGATGCCATAAATCTATTGAGAACTCAATGTAAAAGTTGACAGACTGAGTCTCCAACAAAATGACATCCAAATGCTCATACAGACCAAAATAGCAGCATCTGACTTTATATTACAAAAGATTCAAGCTGGTTAGCAATTCTAGAGATAGGATCCTCCTTTCCTTCAAAGTTGGGAATTTGCCTACTACTTTTTTTTTTAATTATTGGAAAATGCAGAAGAAGAAGAAAGTTGTAGGCAGAATATGGATCACCATCTTCTTCTTTGACTTCTTCTTCAGCTGCAGAAGTTGGTGTTAACAGTAATACATTGTGTCTGTTTACAGCAGACTTTTAGGCTGACCTGTCTGACCTTTTGCCAGCATTTGTTGCCAGGGTTAGCCTTCCCCGGTCTTGTAGACAAACTCAGAGAGTGAGTAGTGACTGAGAACTTACAGAGTGAGAAATGTGTGAGAGTTTACAGGGTGAGCAGTGACTGAGAACTTACAGAGTGAGAAATGTGTGAGAATTTACAGGGTGAGCAGTGACTGAGAACTTACAGAGTGAGAAATGTGTGAGAATTTACAGAGTGAGCAGTGACTGAGAACTTACAGAGTGAGAAATGTGTGAGAGTTTACAGGGTGAGCAGTGACTGAGAACTTACAGAGTGAGAAATGTGTGAGAGTTTACAGGGTGAGCAGTGACTGAGAACTTACAGAGTGAGAAATGTGTGAGAGTTTACAGGGTGAGCAGTTGACTGAGAACTTACAGAGTGAGAAATGTGTGAGAATTTACAGGGTGAGCAGTGACTGAGAACTTACAGAGTGAGAAATGTGTGAGAATTTACAGAGTGAGCAGTGACTGAGAACTTACAGAGTGAGAAATGTGTGAGAATTTACAGAGTGAGCAGTGACTGAGAACTTACAGAGTGAGAAATGTGTGAGAACTTACAGAGTGAGCAGTGACTGAGAACTTACAGAGTGAGAAATGTGTGAGAATTTACAGAGTGAGCAGTGACTGAGAACTTACAGAGTGAGAAATGTGCAAGTACTTACAGAGTGAGAAATGTGTGAGAACTTACAGATTGAGAAATGTGTGAGTACTTACAGAGTGAGAAATATGTGAGAACTTACAGAATGAGAAATGTGTGAGTACTTACAGAGTGCGAAATGTGTGAGAACTTACAGAGTGACTAAAAATTTACAGAATGAGAAATGTGTGAGAACTCAGAGGGAGCAGTGGCTGAGAACTTACAGAGTGAGAAATGTGTAAGAACTCACATAGTCAGCTATGGCTAAGGGAGCAGTGGGTGAGAACTTACACAGTGGGCAGTGGCTGAGGGAGCAATGGGTGAGAACTCACAGAGGGAGCAATGGCTGAGGGAGCAATGGGTGAGAACTAAGAGAGTGGGCAGTGGCTGAGGGAGCAGTGGGTGAGAACTAAGAGAGTGGGCAGTGGCTGAGGGAGCAGTGGGTGAGAACTAAGAGAGTGGGCAGTGGCTGAGGGAGCAGTGGGTGAGAACTAAGAGAGTGGGCAGTGGCTGAGGGAGCAGTGGGTGAGTACTAAGAGAGTGGGCAGTGGCTGAGGGAGCAATGGGTGAGAACTCACAGAGGGAGCAATGGGTGAGAACTCACAGAGGGAGCAATGGCTGAGGGAGCAATGGGTGAGAACTCACAGAGGGAGCAGTGGCTGAGGGAGCAGTGGGTGAGAACTCACAGAGTGGGCACTGGCTAAGGGAGTGATGGGTGAGAACTTACAGAGTGGGCAGTGGCTGAGGGAGCAATGGGTGAGGAAGCAGTGGGTGAGGAAGCAGTGGGTGAGAACTCACAGTGGGCAGTGGCTGAGAGAGCAATTGGTGAGAACTCACACAGTGGGCAGTGGCTGAGGGAGCGATGGGTGAGAACGCACACAGTGGGCAGTGGCTGAGGGAGCAATGGGTGAGAACTCACAGAGTGGGCAGTGGCTGAGGGAGCAATGGGTGAGAACTCACAGAGTGGGCAGTGGCTGAGGGAGCAATGGGTGAGAACTCACAGAGTGGGCAGTGGCTAAGGGAGCGATGGGTGAGGAAGCAATGGGTGAGAACTCACAGAGTGGGAAGTGGTTGAGGGAGCAGTGGATGAGGAAGCAGTGGGTGAAAACTCACAGAGTGAGCAGTGGCTGAGGGAGCAATGGGTGAGAACTCACAGAGTGGGCAGTGGCTAAGGGAGAAATGGGTGAGAACTCACAGAGTGGGCAGTGGCTGAGGGAGAAATGGGTGAGAACTCACAGAGTGGGCAGTGGTTGAGGGAGCAATGGGTGAGGGAGCAATGGGTGAGAACTCACAGAGTGGGCAGTGGTTGAGGGAGCAATGGGTGAGGGAGCAATGGGTGAGAACTCACAGAGTGGGCAGTGGCTAAGGGAGAAATGGGTGAGAACTCACAGAGTGGGCAGTGGCTGAGGGAGAAATGGGTGAGGGAGAAATGGGTGAGAACTCACAGAGTGGTAAGTGGCTGAGGGAGCAATGGGTGAGAACTCACAGAGTGGGCAGTGGGTGAGAACTCACAGAGTGAGCGATGGCTGAGGGAGCAGTGGGTGAGAACTCACAGAGTGAGCGATGGCTGAGGGAGTGATGGGTGAGAACTCACAGAGTGGGCAGTGGTTGAGGGAGCAATGGGTGAGAACTCACAGAGTGGGCAGTGGCTGAGTGAGTGATGGGTGAAAACTCACAGAGTGGGCAGTGGCTGCAAACTTACAGAAAAAGAAATGTGTGAGAATTCACAGAGTGGGCAGTGGATAAGGGAGCAATGGTGATAACTCACAGAAATGGGAAGAAATTTGAGAAATGTGTGACAGAGTGGGAAGTATTTGAGAACTTACAGAGACTAATGTGTAAGAACTTACAGAGTGGGCAGTGTCTGAGAACTCACAGAGTGAGAAATGTATAAGAACTCACAAAGTGTGTAGTGGCTGAGAACTGACAGGGGGAACAATGGATGAGAATTCACAGAGTGTGCAGTGGCTGAGAACTCACACAGAGAGTAGTGGCTGAGAACTAACAGAGTGAGAAATATGTGAGAACTTACAGAGTGAGAAATAAGAGAACTTACAGAGCAAGAGGCAATGTGTGAGCATAATATGCATTGTCGTAAGCTTTACAGCACACACATAGATTAAATTTACAAATGTAATTCAATTAAAATTTAAAGTATTTTTTTTAACTATGAGAAACTTTTTCAGAAACTAATTATTATTCATCGTGTATGTAATCTGTGGTAGAGCTTGACCTCTTGGATTGTGCTTTTTTTGTTGAAAAACACTTTTTTTTGGAGAATTTTGTTTTTAAAATTACACTCTTATGTATCAGTTGTTTCCTTGTAAATCTGTACGTGTTTTCACTCACATTTATTATATGTATATAACTACATAATGAGACAAAAAGCAATAGCAGCAAGAAGAGCATATAAACTATATTATAGTCCGTTCCCAAACTCGTACTGGCAAACGGTAAAAAATATCTCAAAAACTCCTGTATCAAAGCAAATTTGTGCATGTGGTCTTAGATTTTCCATGTCCTTATGATTTCCTTATTTACAACTGCACAGGTGCTGCTTTTCTTCTTAAATCTGTGAATTTCT